ATATTAGTGGTGATCCACAGTAACCAGTCAGGGACCCTCATCCAAAAAGCCCAGCTAATGACCATAACAATTACTCTCATGAGGAAGAGGTCCAACGACCATTGGCTAATTATGAGAAAGTGAAAGTGAAATTATTGACGTCACCAATAAATACATCCTATAGATGTTAGAGGAAAACTTAGAACCAGTGGACACACAGGTAAGAAATATGATCAAAGTGCAAACACTAAAAGAAAAAACAATTGCAATAGAAATTAAAGGAAAACTGAACTCACAGGAACCAAAGGTGTGTCTTCTATCGGAAACCTGGAATCATCTGGAACGCACAAGGGCTCGCTTTTCTCACAGCTCTCCTGGCTGATGAGCGTGTCCGCATAGTTGGGTTGCGGAAAGATAAGATGACTCTTCCTTGAGTCTGCAGTGAGGGAGACCTCATGCGAGTAGGTCTGCAGGAAAGCCCGCACCCCGTCCACGCCCACAAAGTGCGAGGCAGGGAGATCTGCCAACCCGCCTCCTGAAGCCCGGAGCAGGCGTGACATGTGCCAGCGCCGCAGCCTGAGCGCCATGAGCATGATGACAAAGGCCAGGAAGACACAGGAGACCACGGCCACCGCCACCACCAGGTACAAGGTCAGGTCGGAATCCTCAGAGTTGGCGGGGGTGCTGATGCTGCCCAGGTCAGCCAGGACGTCTGGGATGCTGTCGGCCACGGCCACGGTGAGCGTGACCGTGGCCGAGAGTGGGGGCTGGCCGTGGTCCTGCACCACCACCACCAGGCTCTGCTTGAGCGCATCTCTGTCCAGCAGGGCGCGCGCAGTGCGCACCTCACCCGTGTGCAGCCCCACTGAGAAGAGCCCTGGCTCGCTGGCCTTGAGCAGGCGGTAGGACAGCCAGGCGTTCTGGCCCGAGTCCCTGTCCACCGCCACCACCTTGGTCACCAGGTAGCCAGGCTCTGCGGAGCGGGGTGCCAGCTCCACACCTGTGGATCCATCTGTGGGGAGGGCAGGGTACAGGATCTCAGGTGTGTTGTCGTTCTGGTCCAGCACAAACAGGCTCAGTGACACGTTGCTGCTGAGTGGAGGATCCCCACTGTCTCTCGCCCACACCTGCATTTGAATATCCCGAAACTGCTCATAGTCAAAGGAGCAAAGAGCATATAGCACTCCAGTGTTGGAGTTGATGGAGACATAGGAGGAGAGCGGTGCTCCCATGATGTTGTCTTCAGCCAAGGAATAAATAACCCTGGCATTCTCTTTGCTATCAGCGTCATGGGCTGTCAGTGAGAAGATGGAGGTACCCCTCAGGTTGTTCTCAGGAAGGTAGACTGAGTAGGAGGCTTGAGAGAAGGAGGGTGGATTGTCGTTTATATCAACCACCTGCAGGCTGATGTGAATTTCTGTGGACAGTGGCGGTGTTCCTTTGTCGGTTGCAGTCATTGTGATGTTATATTCAGAGGCTTTTTCTCGGTCAAGAATTTGGGTTGTCAACAACCTATAATAATCTTCTATTGACTTTTCTATTCGAAAAGGTAGACTGTCTTGGATGGAACAGACGACTTGGCCATTTTTCCCAGAGTCTTGGTCATGAGCATTGAAAAGAGCAATTACTGTTCCTTGAGGAGCATCTTCCCTCACCGGGCTAAAGAGAGATGTAATGGTCACTTCAGGCCTGTTGTCATTTACATCCTCCACTGAAATGAGCACTTTAGCCCACCCCTTCAACCCCCCGCCATCTTCAGCTTGTATTTCCATTTCATAAAATGCACATTCCTCATAATCTAGACTCTCCGTGGTTGATATTTCCCCAGTATTTCCATTAAGCTGAAACAATGGAGACTGTTTTCCACTGATCTTCCAGAATTTATATGCCACTTCTCCATTGGCTCCCTCATCCGGGTCGCTAGCTTTTACAGTAAGCAGTCTGGTGCCCGGCGGCACGTTCTCTGGGACTTTGACTCGATAAATCGGTTGAGCAAAAACCGGGGCATTGTCATTCGTATCCAGCACTGTCACTTGGATGTGCACTGTGCTAGAGCGACGGGGGTCTCCGCCATCAAAGGCGGTGAGGACCAGGTGGTGAGCAGCCTCTTCCTCTCGGTCCAGGGTGCGCTCCAGCACCAAAACTGGGTTTATAGTTCCATCGTCTCTAGCTTTTGAGTCCAAGGAGAAGTGGCGGTTGGGGCTGAGCTGGTAGCTCTGGAGGGAATTCATGCCCACATCTGGGTCAACAGCCTCTGGGAGCGGGTATCTTGTTCCAAGGGCAGCAATTTCGTTAATTTTTACTTCCAGATTTTCTGCTTGAAATTTGGGAGCATTGTCATTCTTATCAGTTATTTCTACTTGTAGTCCATGAAGCTGCACTCTGTCTTCAACTAGAACTTTAAAGTTAAGCAGACATCTCAAGCTCTGAGCGCAGAGCTCCTCCCTGTCTATCCTTCCCGCGGTGACCAAGCTGCCGCTTTGGGAGTTCAGAGCAAAGAGCTGAGTCCTACCTTTGGAGATGATGCGGACTCTCTGTTCCGTCAGCTCCTGGGGCTCCAGTCCCAGGTCCTTGGAGATATTTCCCACTATATAGCCTTGTGCTGTCTCTTCAGGCACCGAGTAGTGGATCTCGCTGGCCCTGGTCTCCCACAGCCTTTCCAGGAAAAGGCAGAGCAGGACCAGACCTCTGTGCTGCCGGCGATTCACTGGAGCAGCCATTGTAGCTTCACTATGGGATTTCTTTTTCCAGACTGCTCTCTGTCACGCTAATTCTTTGGATTCCTTCTTCCTCCTGCAAAATTTGGTGATCCTTTTTCTTAAGAGAACCTGCAGTACCCCACGTTAAGAGGCTGTTTTTATGTAGCTCGGGAGTCGGCTGTGGGGATCTCCGGTGCTTTGTGTAGTTTCAACTCCTAATATCCAGATACAGCGGGATTGAGCTTTTCTTAGAGTTGGTGAACAGCGGCGCTCAGAGTCCTAAGCAGTTACTACACCCACTGAGATAAGCAATTCTTGATTATGGATGATTGAATGAAAAGGAAACACTACTGTCTTCTAATGTGATTTTAGATTTCTTTAATTGTTTCTTGTATTTATATCCATTTTTTAATATCTTTGTTGGAAAGTGTATGGAATGAAATGTATTATTAAATTGCTTCCCTCATTATTATTATTTTTTGCTATCAGATTAATTCATTCTTACAGACTTTTGCTCATTTTCTCTTTAGGCATGTAAGTGATTCTAATTTCCTGGTCATAATATTTCATATTTTTTCTATATGTAATTATCTATTTACAATTGCAACCCTCTGGAAATATTATTCATATATTTCTAAATTATATACATATATGCTTATGTATGTACATTACACACATAAGTTCTAGTAAATAAATACATATAGATTATTCACTTTGAGTTTATTTTATAAGATTAGTTTTTATAGTAAAATTCTGGAGTATGGTTTTCTTAAAATTCTGTTTGCAAAAATAGTTTCAATTAGGAGAAAATATTAATTTTCTCACTATTGCTTAATTTTAAAAGGATTGATTTTGAATTTTTACATATTCATGATTAAACTTTCATATATTATTTTTTAAGTTTTTATGTGACTAATGTATTTGCAAAGGCTATGGAATTTGGAAAGCTCAACTGAACAAACTAGACATTGAAAAGCAGGTCCTCATTTCAAATCATTAAGAAATTGTACAACTTTAAGATAGTTTTAAACCTTATTTTGATGGTCACTTAAAGTTACTTAATAATTTTGGAGAAGGAACATAAGATGTAGAACAAATTATTGCCACTCGAAATTAGGTGCAGTTACAAGTTCAGTGTGTTAAGAAACTGTTTGTAAAGTCTCAATAAACAGTTCATAAAGAAACTGTTTATTGGCCCTCCCTGGTGGTGCAGTGGGTTAAAGCACAGCTAAAGCCACTTCCACATGAGTTCGATTCCCGCCTGCCCGGGAGGAGACCACATGGCGTGGCAGACCTCTCCTGACCTGCCCCCTGCTCCCCTCAGCAGTGTACTTCGTCCATCTGCCTGTTCTGTTCCCCACTCTGTCTCTGGTGAAGCCTCTGCAGCCCCTGCACCTCTGGCCTGTACCCCAGTTCTGTATGCATAAATAAATAAATCGTTAAAAAAAACAACTGTTTATTGAAGCACTTTGTAAGGAAAACCAAGCAAAAACTGGATACTTTTGTAATTGTATGGAATTAGTAGTTTTGCCTTATCATAAATAATTAATGATTCTCCTTCCTTCTAGAAGATGACAAAGACCGTGAGAAAACATGTTGTCATTCATGTTTAGAGCTCCAAATCATAAGCCAAATCCAGTGAATTTCCTACCATTCTTCCTTAAAAACTATAAGCAAGTGAAAGCAGCATTGGTGTTTCCTTTCCTGTTACCAAGTTTCTTCTGGTAACAATAAAGAACAGAATTACCCATTCAAGAAAACTTGAAGGAAGTTTATGATTTGACATTCTGATGAGCAGCACTGAGTGGCTCACTCACACACACAACACAGAGTATTCTTTCTAATTATTTTAAGGGATGCAAAAATCACAAATAGATATAAGAAATGAAGAACAAATATAGGAAAGGGATGGAAACAGCACTAGTGGTATCAGTGAATGTAAATACCCAGCAGTAACTTTTATTTTAACTGATGTATTAAATGGTTGCCCACTTGAAATTTAATACATAATAATGTATTAAATAATGTAATAATGTATGCTTACATACATCAATAAAAATATAAATAAACGAAACTGTTAGAGAGTAAATTTCATTATTGTTGGAAAAAAGAAATGGGTATTCTACCCACTCACTATGAAAATTCAAACTCAGTAGGATGACTATTTTATGTCATATAACTACTCTTAATTCACCACTCACCATGAAGAAAAGAATTACAAGTTTTTGATAAGGTTCATTATGCCTTAGACAATTTACTTGGAAATATAATATGTTTTCATATAAATATAGAATTGTGAAGATGATAAAAAGGAGCCCATACTTAAATGAAACTTACCTCCTGGGAAGTCGACTCGCTGCCGTTGCAAAGTGGAAACAAGGCCCCAGATGTTTCATCACAAAGTATATCCTGCCCTGAAGTCAACTGCTCATTATATTTTAGAAAATTAAACTCCGTCTTGCCAGATTGGGCAACGCACAGATTGTAGGAGTAAGGCAAAGTCCCTTCCATGTAGTTGGGGGGAACCGCTGGTCCAGACTTGACACAGAGACCAGGCTGAAAGCAGCTCCCCCAAGCAGAGTGGCTGGAGGACCACCTCAGGCGCAGGGCAATGGCCAGAATGACCGCCAGCAGG